TTGAAACTTGATATAGCGAACTTGGATGAGTATGCCTTTGATTCAAAATCAAAATCTCGTGCCACACCCGCAATAATCGACGACAATAAGATATCAAAAATCTCCCGGAATTCAGTTTCCACTTTAGAGTTTATCGAGGAATATTATGCGATAGAAGGAAATGAATCAGATGAGTTGGATACTCACACTTTTGAACATCCCGTGGGATATGATGACAATGAAGGTATGAATTTATGATAATGCATTATTATATTCGAATTTTTAATAATCATCATAATAATAATAATCGTGTCGATGATGATACAAAGGTGTTTTGGTTGAACAGCCACTATTTGCTGCTTCCGCGACAAATAAAAGTAATGAGGATTTAACCGAATTAGAAAATTCGGAAGAAGAAGAAGATAATCGTAGGGATGATAAAGTTAAAAGGCTGGATTCTCCTACTATAGAATTTGTGGATGATCATTTTTCTATACCTAATGCAAACGAACCCGAGAATTCCTATATTCAAGAGTAAGTTTTTTTTTTTGCGAAATAATTACCCTTCAATCATTTTTTATTTATAAAAACTTATATATCTTAGGTTACCTAAAAGTTTGACCCGGATTAGACTGAGAGATTTTAATCTCGTATGCAAGTTACATGAAGGTTATGATTGGGAACGTAGTAGAAAGGAAGCGCTGGATTCTTTGGCACGCGCAAATTCTCAAGCCAAGAATGTAAATGTTGTGGAGACAGGAACAGCGTCTGGTTCTTCGATTGGAGAAACAAGTAGTTATCCTTCATTAGAAGAGAATAATATATATAGTCATATTTACAACGCTCAGTATAGAAATTCAGATTATGACGTAACATCTGAAGTCGATTACATGGACGATTATAGTGATACTGCTAGTCAAGTTAGCTCACGATTGGATCCTGACAATACGAATATTCGAGAGGGTAAACGGTCCGAGCATTCAAATCGTCGATCTCGGCCAAAGTTAAGTCGCTCAAGCTCTAGCAAAATTGACATAAAACTTGAAAAAGTGAATTTGGAATTCGATATTTTTCCCGATGACAATT